ACTATTAATCAAGACTGATGGTTCTGGCAAACGTACAATGCTGGCATAGTTGCACAGAGTCATTTTCCAAGATGGCACTAATTATAAGGAGACTTTCATGCAAGAGGAAACCACCCTTATTGATTCCAAAAATTTAATATATCAATGGATGTGACAGTGGCTTTCTCGTAGAGATCAAGGTATTCTGTAATGACTCCTTCACCCAGTAATTTGACACCATTTACTTGATTTGCCCACTACAAAGGTCTCATATGGTCTCAAACATGCTCCTAAACTATAAGCACAGGTTAGGAAAATCCATTACCAGAATTATTTCCTATGGATTTGGACAGAACCAAGCAGGCTATTCAATATTTGTTGGACCATCTACTTGCAGCTGCAGGATTGTGATTCATCCTGTTTCTTAGTTGATGATCAGCCATGTAAGGTGATGATGTCAGGCTCCAACTAAGCAAGCTTTAGACCTTTTCACAAACTTACCAGCCTAATGGGAGGCAATGTCCTCTTCCTAAAAATCTCACCAAGGTAGTTGATGAGCCAACTCATTTATTCTTTTTGCAAATGAATTAAGTCACCCCAATTATATGATAGCTTCTATCCATAGATTGATGACTTTAAAAGGTATAATAGGGGTCTCAAACATGCACCCAAAGCACAGCCAAGGAAATTCCAAAATCCCGTTATTTCCTTCAGATTAAGACAAAGAGAAATAGATTATTCAATGTGCCCAGGACATAACACAAAAGGGGCAGTGATTCTCCATGCCCATGCAGATGATACATCATATAAGGTGATAATTAACAAGTCATAGCCCATGCAGATGATAAATCATATAAGGTGATAATTAACAAGCCATAACCTTAAAAATCGGTTGACAATAAATTTCAGATATGGGTCATCTATGATATATTCCTGATTGACATTTAAGAATGCATGCTCAGTAGAGTATCCCAAAATGAGCAGTCTTGGGATCATATTTTCATAGTTAAGAAACCCATTGAGTTGAACATGAAATATTGTAAATGCTTAACAGCAATTCCTAAACCTACCCTGTATAGATGCTAGTTGAAAGGTTTGTATACTTGGCTGGTGCTATTCTAGATATTATGGACATTGGATAGGTAGACAGACAACTAAAAAGAGATACTCAATAAATATTTGTTTACTCCTCAAAGTCTTTGATATCTTCAGTCCACACCAGAATGGCTGTCTGCTTGACCTGCTCACGTACTCATTGGACTGTATTTCCCGTTGCAAGAATAGAATTCAATCCGCAACATAGTGCAGCATCTTACTTAGCCACTTCAGTCTTGCTTAGGAACTTGATCACGGAAAACAAGAGAGCGAGTAATAAAATACCATTTTTTAATCCAAAAAAAGACATACAAATATTATCAAAAACAAAAACAAGGACATACAAATAGCGGCAGATGTCTTTATGTGCAATGAGATAGTGTGAATTTGAGCTCTTGCAAGGGAAATGAGCTTGCACTATCTATTCCAAGAACTCTCCCCTAGAGTTTATGACTTTTTAGAAGCAATGTTAAATGAGATTATGTTCACAATCTAGAAAGTTAACGGAGAGGAGCTAGTTCAACAAGACTGGAAGTAAGAATTACTTCAACAGTCTAAAACCAAAAATTTATATTCATATTTATGCTAATAAAAACTGACTCAAGTGCTCAGGTTCATCTAATTGATGCTTGGCACAAGCATAAATAGAGGCACTCTCTGCACAGTAATAAACATCAGACTCATGAGCTTGGCTTAATCTAATTATAAAGTAACATAAAGCCTATCCTTTAGAGCCATTAAAAAGTGTAAACTAAATAGGAAAATTAATCAGAGAATACAATCATGCCATCCAACTTAAAACTCTAACAACAAGGTGTGAAAAAGATTGATCAATAAGCAGGCCACAAATAGTTAAGAATGAATGATTCAACGGATACAAATTCATAACAGCATTGCCAACATCCACAACTGTTCTAATTATGAGAAAAAAGGCACTCTCATTTGATTTCTTCCTTTTTGGGTCAACAGCAGAGTAATGCAACTCAAACGTCCATATAGATCAGCAAGTGTTTAGGTCACCTCTTCCCAAAGCAATAGTAAATTCCTCTGGCACAAAATATTTAAATTTATTTATTGAATCATCTTTAAGCACTCTCAGAAGTTAGAAACAAGGTGAAGATTAAACATTATGCGGTCCCCAAAGCAAAAAATTCCCAAATCGACCCAAGCAGTTCCAGGTAGAAAGAACATGTTGAAACTTCAAATGGGAGTTAAAAGAAGAACCAATGAGAAAAACAAGGAGTAGTTCTGAAAAATTATTCTCAAAGGAAATGTTTAAGATGGGCAAGCGATTTGAAATATGTGCATAATTTGTTAACAAAAAGTAGGGTCAAACTTTTGGGCATGACAAATATAACTTCAGGAATTTCCAACACTTCAGAAAAAAACAACCTCAACACCACCACTTCTACCACCACCACCAACAACAACAACAATGGAATGAAAGAAAATAAAGGATTATATTCAATTCCCATGTGAAGTTTATAATTTCAGCCGGTAAGAATTGTAAACAAAGGAACAAATAACCATGTGAAGCAAAATGAACATTAGAATATACACGTTGAAGATAAATAAGAAAACAGGTTTTCAAGACTTTATTTGTGGGATATTGCAAGTATTTGTCCACTTTTTCATATACGAAGTCTATTTACATTATGTTGCATAAATGGTACCAAGAAAGAATACAAGCAAAAGAAACATAATCGAAGAAATATAAAATATTATAAGACCACTTACTTTGGTACATGGAGGTCACAATCACCCATCGCCATAAGATGTGAAATCTAACAGTATGAATGTGGCATAAAGTCCAAAAAAAATTCTCGGGACTTTGAGGTTAGAAAATGGAACACCCCCCAGCTGCCCTATTTCACATCCAACAGCCATGGCTGAATGTGACCTCTATTATTAAAAATAAAAGCTCTCTCTCTCTCTCTACTCTACTCTCTCTCTCTCTCTCTCTCT